TATCAACTGTGTGAGCTCCCTTTCTGTTGGCGAGTCTTAGCAGAGGCAGTGATTTACTGACCGTGATTGAAATAAAGATATTTGTTTGGTGTCTCTTTTTCTAAGACTTTCCCTTCTACCTTTTCTAAAGCAATGCTAGAAGCAAAGACAGTATCTTAAGCTGTATTATAGATTTAAATATTCCTTAATTAACCCATTGTCCAATGAACATGCCTTCAAACATGCATTTCTGTTGCTTAACAGGAGTCATGTATATAAATGTGACTAGAAGACAACAGCCAAGTTATTTTTGTATTTGTTCAGGTTCTGCTACCTTATTTGTAATCAAAGTTTCCAGTAGTGCAGTAAGTGGGGTGACTCCCATCATGTGTTATTGGTTATCTCGTCCCTTCCCTCCGGGGAGAACATAGGCCGTGCCTCGCACTGTCACCAGTTGTGCTTTTATAGGAGACGTCAAGGCATGTAGCACTTGGAGCAGAAGGCAGTGAAGTCTGGAATGGTCCTTAGCTCCTATGGGGGCTCATGGACCACCCACCCCAAGAGATGGTTCTGCCAATTCCTCAGTGACAGTCTTCATCAAGGATTCATCTTCAAGCTTGAGGCACATTTTTTAGATGCAGTGAAACCAGACAATCCTTAAAGGAAAGGACTGACACCAGAGGTCTGATGTGCTCACAGTTGCCTACTTGGAGGAGACACTGCAGTATCCTGAAGGCTGCATTCCCTTGTAGGCGGTAGTGCGACAGTCCAGCCAAAGGGAAAATCAGGTCACACTCACCTTCTGACTGCAAGGCTCCTTGCAGCCCAGATCCAGCCCAGGGCCTGAAGTGGCCCAGGCAGCAGCAGCTCCAGCTTCTCCCCAGTGTGGTGATAGTGGCTCCAGCTCCCAGCGTGCGTCATACACCAGGGTGGCAGCCTGGCTCCAGCACAGAGCACACGGCAGTGACAGCTCTAGCTTCAGCATGGGACAGGGAGGCAGCAGCAGGGCTGGAAGCTGAGGACCTGACACCACCTTGGTGGTGACAAAGTGGCCAGAGGATGACCAGGATTGGGTCGAGTCCTTGCTCACCCACCTACGTACACACTGTCTGCGGCAGGCCACTGCCCCCTTGCCATGCCCCACAACTGCTAGTGGCCCACTGGTAGTCCACCAGTGGCTCTGATGCCCAGATCCATCCCGCAAGCCATATGTTTGATGCCCTGGTGTAAGTCACCAAGGTCAGGTCCATGTCTACCAGAACAGGAAAGTTTCTAGCTAACTGGATATGACACAAAGCATGGCCTGCATGGGCTGACATGCAAGTGATGCATCCATAGTGTGCGAACTGTGGTGTTCCTCCAGGTGTTAACTACCCTGTTCATCTTAACTGAGCTAATAAACCCACTTACCACCTCTCAACAGCATCTCTGTCCCGTCCTTTTCCCATTTATATCATAGAAAGCATAATGAAGTAGGGCTGGGAGGGACCTCCTCCTAATCCCACCCAGGGACTCATCTAGTCCCACCCAGTCTGTTCATAGCAGCTGACAAAATAGGTTGGTGCCTACAAAAGCTCCTGCTTCTCTGAAGCAGTTAGTCTCTAAAGTGTCACCTCACCCTGTCCCCTGCCTGATGTCAGACTAATGCAGATTAGCACCTCTATATGCTGGTATATGATCTTAACGTTAGTGGAGACTCCAACGGTATTTCTACAGGCTGAACCAAACAACCATCACCCCAGGAGCCTGCATCAGGACTCAAAACTCTTCAAAATTCTTCTCTGCCCACCAGAACGAAGTCCCATCTTGCAGGGGAGTCCATCTCAACCAGCTGTCCTCATCTACCAGCTGATCTTGTGCATTCAAATTGTGGATCAGATCACCAGCTCATGGACCTTTCTTGTTCCCTGGAACAAAACTGCCTTCAGATGGTGGGCAATCCACAACAGCAGCAGACTATCACAGCTTCAAATCTCAATGTCTTGGCCAAAGATCAAGCATAAAATATCCTTGACTGCAAAGACTGAATTAGAAATGACCTGTGAAAAGTCCTGAGGAGTTGAGTGAGGTGATTATCATCTCCCCAGAGCACTAGGAAAGCAGAGAGTGGGCTGCAAGACTTCCCTCCTCTTGCACAGCATGTGTTAGAGAATGTAAATGACACTCCATTTTTTCCCCCAATACTTTTGCTAAGTGATCCACAGCAAACACTGACCTCCCTTGGTGGGCAACTTCAAGCATGCTAAGAGGTGGCAAAATATTAAAAATCCATTGCAGCCCCCCTTGGGAGCTGGAACTGGAGTCGAGGGCTTTCTGAAAAGCATCAACAATCATAATTTTCATGGCATTTCTCATCAAAATATGCCTATGTTGCTAAGCTACTTGCAGGAGAAGGCACAATGGCAAGCAGAGGTGACATGTATGAAGTGGAACAAAACTCTGTTTATTATATACAAATATAAGAAACAGCAAAGTCTCTGCTTTTTCCATTTCACTTTTGATGCATAATATGTAAACAGTAACTGACTGCCCCAGGTGGACTGTTGTGATCATGTAGAGCTGGTAACGCGGCTTTTTGAGGAAGCGCATTCTGCACCTGTGCTTCTAAATGGGGGAGGTTTTTACAAAGGCTGCGTTTGCTGTAGGCGTCCAACCTGAAAGTTGTCAAGCAATCAGGGTTGGGGAAAGAGGTGGTTCTGCCCCTACAATATTAATTTGCTTTAGGAAAGTATTTCACATCTCTGGAAGAGGAAGAGAATCTGTCAAGACTCCCTTTCTCTTATGGGGAACCTCCCCCCATCCCTGGACCAAAGAGGAGGGAATATTCCCCTTGGTGATGTTCGGGGACATAAGCCTTCCTGAAGAGCCTACCTTCAGAGAGAGGGGCTGTGGAGCTTAGAGGCCCTCCTCTCATCCCTGGCAATCCTGGTGGTAGGCAGCTCACCTGCAAAAACATGTCTTTCCCTCCCAACACAAAACCCCTGGGAGAAGGCAGGGTTCACCTCAAACCAGGTTAACTCTAACCTTGCCTTTTGTGCAGAAAACCAACAATTCTACAGCAGACAAGGCCTGGCTGAGGGGCTAGTCCCTTGCCCTGCCTTCAAGAGTCACGGCCAAGTCGTCTATGGAGATGCAGACATGGGAGGGGGGTGGGGAGTGATGGGGGGACAGGGAGGGGGACATTAAGACTGAAGCACTGCTGCTCCCTTTTGTAACCGAGGAAGAATTACAGAGAAGTTTTGCTCCAGCCCAAGCTTCCTAGAGCAGAAAAACTACTGTGTAATCCCTTTAGCCTTGGAAACGTCAGTTCTGAGAGCCCAAGAACCAGGATTCTGGGAACGAGTTTATCAGCAAATGCGTTCTGTGCTGCTGAACAAACAGTAGAACAAATACTGAGTTTCTTAAGTGACCTTCAAGGACTCAGATTTAACAAAACATGGTCCATCTGTAAAGGATACAGGTTTGTTTCTTAAAGCCCTCTTGTCATTTTAAATGTCGCTGAAGGAGGAGAAATGATCTTTTCCACTGTCATCTTCATTTGCTTTTCCCTAAAACTCTTGATATGCCGTAAATTATCCAGTCTCCAAAAAGGGTAGCAGACAGACAGATTTAAAAAAAATGACTTGCTTAAGAGAGAAGTTTCTTAATGGGTTTTACTAGCAAGTTTGTTTTGGCAGCTAGAAAATTATTGCAGAGAAAAGCTGGTAAAGGGCTTTGCACGAAGAACTGGACATGCCTGAAATTCAAAACCTCCTCACTGTTGTGCTCCTTAAACTAATCTGAAAAAACTGGCCTTGGATTTCCTCACACTATTCCAACTAACCGGCTCAGAGACTGGCATTTCCTTTCTTACGACAGCAGCAGTGTGAATTCAGACAGACATTAATAAAAGATCAAAAGCCAACGAACCTAAAAAGGCTCGTTTCATTGTCTCGTTTCATATTCCAGCATACTAAGCAAATCTGTAAACGGTTAAAAATCAGATACACAAATGAATGATGAATTACACAGACATGGATGCTAAAAGCCACGCAGGGAAAAGACATCTTTGCTAGAAGTTAGCATTCAATTTGGATTTTTTCCCCACTGTGATGTACAGTACCAGATTCAATTTAAAGTTTCAAATGTCCCGCTCTCTCAACACAGGCTTGAGATTGAAACAGGGAAAAAAAATTCACCCTGACGTCTTGGTAATTTTTTGTTTCAAAGTCTGTAGGCAAACTCCATCGAAGAAGGAAATGTTACAACACTGCCGAGGCTCCGGAATGCATTCCATTTTCTGGGACTGATTTGGCTTGGTGCAAGGCAGCTTGAATTCTGAAATGTGTCCTCGTTTCCATGGAATAATTCTTGTAATTTTGTCTACAACAAAAGCAGATCCAATCTGATAAACATACCAGCTCTAAACATTTTCTACTTATCTTTACATTAATTGTACTAAACAACACAACTGCAGACAGCAAGAAAAGCCTGTTCTCACTATCTCCTTTGTTGCCTACTCTAAAATACAAGGCGTGTGTGCTTAGCAGAACAATGCAGCTCTTTGTGCTTTTATTTGTAGTTCTAGTATCTGGCAATTACCAGGGAAAATATAGTTTGATAAGAAATCAAATCTGGTCCCACTCAATAAAAATGTTAAGTGTACATTAAATATCCATAGTGTCAATTTAATTTATGCTTAGAAATCAGATTTATTTGATTTTCCAGATTTTACTCAACATTACTATGAAGCCAAGCATCTGTAATCTTAATAACATTTTAATAAGGTGAAGACAGGAACACAGACATTTTGCTGCACAGATATAAGCCAAGAATTTCAGCGCTGCTACTTAGGACACGTAGATACGGATGTGAAGTCAAGCACGTTGTTTACAGGTAGGAACCCTACTGAGAGAATCAAACTTAACTGAAGAATCCCGTTAGATTTTCATATGTAGTGTAACATGGGTGAGGATTGTTTTTAAGGTCTTAGCCTAAATTCTGACATTGTGTGTGAGGATGTGAGAAGACGTGTTCCCAATGCTACTTTCTTCAGGTTGCTTCAGTTTCTTCAGCAGAATACAAGAGGTGAGAGCTCAAGTAAAAACAGCTGAAATGCGCAGAGTCACCGAGACCAGAGCTCTTGCAACATGCTACCTACTTGGAGCATAAACTGTCACGCTGTAACTGAACTGCAAGAGCGAATCAAGGCACTACAGTAATGAAGGACAGCCACTGCTAAGGAAGGAACGTGGCCAAAGTGCAGAAGGAACCTGACACACTGAATGTTTACTGACACACTTCACACCTGAATTTTGCCTACCTGCAGTGCGGCAGAGAAAAGATGAACCAAGAGGAGACCCAAGTAGGACAGAAATATTTTACGCAGAGATACAAAAAGCTATTTGCGAACTCCAGACCAACAGGGGCAAATCCGCTGCTCTGTTCTGTGGCTCAAGGAGGCCTGAGTGCATGGTGTGCAGGGGGATGAGCGAGGCTGCCTGGTCTGCTGCTATGGGAAGAGCATTATAAAGGGGTCAGGGCAGGGGCCTGCAGGAAGGTGCTCAGGCTGCTCTGGCTACTGAGGTAAAATAGCTGGCAGGGAGCAGCCCATCAGCCTAGAAGGGAAAGACAGATTCCCTTCCCCTCTACATGCCCAGAGCCTGACTCAGTGCCATGGGCTGGCCTCTGGATTTTGCTCCCAGCAGCACATGTGCAAGGCTCCAGCCAGTTACAGCAACTCGCAGTGAACTGAGTGCATTTATTTCTCCTGAGAGGTAAAGTCCAGGGAAGCCATCCACGTACAGCTCTTTTCTAGGTGTCACCACCTCTACTGTGCAGGACAAATACAGAATACGAGTCCTGGCAGGTCGAGAACATGGTCGTTTACCTTTCAAAAGCTACTTGACATTTGGGGGTTACAGATGAAGTCCTAAGTAGTTTCTGTATTTTTCAAAAGCATTCAAATGCTGCTTGAATAATTGACATCCAGCCTGGGAGCATGGGGCCAACGAGAAAGGAGGAATGACAACCTGATCACCCCACTTCTCCCCACTGCAGCAAATTTAAACCTAACCAATAAGCTAGGTGCTGCTTGTGCCATCCACAAGGCTGCTGGACGGCGGCTGTGCTGATCTCAAACTCTGGTGTATTTACGTTACCCTGATTGTGTCAACCACACCGACTTGCTAAGAATGCTGCTTGCAGCAGATGGCAATATCAACGGAAGTGTTTCTAGGTACTGTCAAGCCGTCTGAAATGTTTCTCATTTACCACACTCTCCACAGCTGCACCACTCAAGTCTGTTGTGCATACATATTTAAGTCAAAGCTGGCATTATTTGGCAGGCAGTGCACTCATCTCCACTTGAGAGTTGCAAACATGAAGCTGCTGGGCTGGAAACCACCTGACACGGCCAGTTCTCCCTCTGGTTTCTAAAGGGAAACTTCCCGTTCCAAGCTGGGTATATAGAAAGCCTTTGCACGGTTAAATGTTGAGAATGAATCTACCTACCACGATTCTGACCCCACTGTGAAGTATTCTCCTCCCTTGAAAGCAACAGCACGGTGAACTGAAAAGCAAGTGCTTTGCTAACCCCCTAGGAGCACCAGATGTAGTGAGACAGGCAGTTTTGTTTTGGAGGTGTCTGGAATGAATGTTGTATTCAACAGGATGTGGATCAGCATCAGCAGGGTTTGCCCCACTCTTAGGAAACTGCAGTACCTGTTCCAAAGGGAAGGCTGAAAGAGCTTCCCATGGAAAGTCAAAGACATGTCCATGCAGCACAGAAACTGAGCCCCTGGCAGGAATGCACTGCTCAGGCTGGAAGTCGCAGACACTCAGGTACAGGCGGTTTTTCCTTCCAGGGTGAAGACGGTGACCTTTGCTTACTGTCCAGCTCTTTTGAAGCAGGATGACGAAACCCCCAGTGTTAACTTGTCTTGCTACACCAGCCCAGAGACCAAAGCCCTGCTGGCTTCAAATGGTGACAGGATGCCATGCCTCTCAGCTCGTTTCCCCCACTCCAATGCTTGTGGCTATGACTGGAGCCACATGTTCAGACAAATAAGCTTTAAATACTTTCTAAGCATGTATGACATGTTTTAACTACACTGCTGCCATGTCCAGGCTGGGCTGTTGAAGCTGCTGACTCAAGGCACGTGCTGGGGACAGTCCTTGAGCAGTAAGAGATGAAAGATTGGGCAGAATGAGTTGTCCTTGACTCTTCATATCCAGACTTTGTTTGCTATTTTGTTCTCCTTCAAATATAGATTTGGAAAACAAAAAAGGGGGCCATTTTGGGTGCATGAAGTGAAAGCATCAAAACACTTCCAACTAAGCTTTCTGATGAGGATTTTGTTATTAAAAACACTCTCTCTGACAGGCTGCCCAGTCCGGGGTCCTAATCGTCGGGGTGGGAGTCAGGAACCCTGCGTTTTAGTCCTGGCTCCACTTCGAACAGGCTACATCACCACCCTTCCTTTTGTGTAAACTGGAGGACTGCCTACACAGCTCACAAGGGCACTGAACGGGTACATTAAGACATGTTTACACGGGGTGTCTGGACAGCACAATGCCAAGCAGTTTTCTCAGGAAGAAATTTTGGCTCAGCAGGAGAGCTGAGAACTGTGCAGGGGCAGGATACAGATTGTTTACTCTATGCTGAGGTAAGTACATGATCAAGCCCAGACATTCCTGATTCATTGATAATATCATCCCCACTGTACTGCTTTGTTTGGATTTTTTTTTTTTTTTAATGGAAAAGCTAAATGCTTCTGCTGCTTTTCACAGGCACCTACAACAGCAGAGGCAGAGACGTTGCCTGAAAGTTACTTTTACTACACGTGTTTAAGGATGTGGTGGAAGAAAAGAGCACTGCTGGCCAGCAAACTGAGTTGGTATTTTTCTGCTACAGGTTCCTGAATTAATTCAATGCACCTCTTTTGAAAAATAAAGTTACCTGGAGAGGCAGTTACTTCATGTTGTTCAGGAGTGATTTCTGATAGGAAACCCCAATAGCCGGGCTAGGAAATATAAAGCTGATTTCTCAGCACCTAAAGCAGCTTCCCAAGCAGTACAATCTCTCTGGATGTGTTATATGGCAGTGACATGTGGCAAAAAAGCCTACAGACAGACTCTGGGGGTGAGTGCTGTCCCCAGCTCTTCCACTACTTGGTGCCTCTGTTTTCCACTCCTGGCCCTTGGTTAGACTGGAAGCTCTTCAGGGCTCCTTTTCCCCAGGTGGCACAGACAGCCCCTTCCAGACCTATATCCTTAAGTATTTGGGCAATGCCTGTCTCATTTTGGTAAGATCATGAGGCATTGCTATCATACAGCAACCCCTGTGTTTAATCAAACAATTTCTGCTTCCTGACTTGTACTGGTTTCTTAAATCAACCTGACAAGTCAGCTGTCTGAACATGTGCATAGTAATCTTACTTGGCTTTTTCCAGTAACTTTACTCCTTCTTCTTTCCTGCCATTGTCTAGGTACAGCACAGCAAGCTCAAGCAGGGCATTTGGAATTAGATAGTGGTCGTATTTTATCTTCTTTTCACTGGAAGAGAAAGAGAAGCATTATTAACAAGCAGTTCATGCTGAAGTTCTCTCTCATTAACAGTTCTAACTACAAATCACCAGAACAACTGAGTTTCAGAGAAATAATCCATGTCACTATGATGGTCATCACACTCCCTATCTTAAGACAAATCCTAGGTTATTCAATAAGTGCTCTATTCTGCGCAGTGATATGTGACCAACCTTACAACTCGTATTAGCAGGAGAGTAAAAAAGGTGGTGGCTCTCTAAAGGCAAGTCTGTACTGTCAAAGGACCAGACTGGGGAGTACTGCAGTATAACATGCCAGGCCTGGTTCGTATATGCTATACCCCAAATAAAGGTCATGTAGATGTCTTACTGCCTTAGCCCAGAAGAGTGGGATTGTCCATGTGCACACTAAGGCAGATGTCAGCTCCAGGATGTGCCCGGTTTCACTGGCATCCCAATGTCTCTTTCACAGCAAAGACATACTCTTTGCTTCATCCACAGAATAAGTTTTGCCCACATGTGCTGCCAGGATGAGATGCTGTTTGCTGAGGATTGTGCAACCATTTGGTTCTTTGAGTTTGG